CATGTCCATGCTGTTCCTGGAGTTCTGGTTTCACCCCTGGTGTGTCATCCATCTCTGGCTGGCCTGTCCAGGAACCAGGAGCACGGTCCAGGATGACAAAACCTTCTGTGTGGGCCACCCTGGGGCATTGGGGTGAGGGCTGACTTGATCTGTGTTGTCTTCTCACCTCCTCTCTGCTGGCTGCTCTCAGACTTCCTGGGTGCACCCCTGCCCGCTTCAGAAGGAAGAGGTGGTCTTCATCTTGGGGGTGGGCACATCCCTGTTCGTGCCTTGCCCGTGGACCCTCTGCGATGCCCAGTCGATTGTGTCATCGTCTCCCGTGAGGGCTGGAGGGACGGAGCTTCTTTTGCAGTCACTGTCTGTTCACGTGGGTCTGTAGTCTAGGTATGTGGGGAGAGAGCACATTCTAGAACTGCAATCCAGAGAAGGCGGCACTTCCTGCCTTCTTTCAGCAGTTTTCATGTAAAAACTAAACCAAGTTCTTGAAGTAAATATGAAATCCCATTCAGAAAACTTTCTGTTGCACTAAAGGGTTATTTTCGCTTCTTGTACTGGTTGAGATAACATGGCAGAGGCTTTGGAAAGAGGCATGTTTGGAAAGAGGTCATCTAATGTACGTGTCTTCAGGAAAGTGTTAAAATACTTGTTAGGCTTGAAACGTAGTAACTTGAGACAGTGACAAGAGATTCATGGAGGGGCCTTCAAGGCTGGCTAAGCTTCACATTCTCGTGCATTCCCTACATGGATAAGCTTGCTTCAGTGAGGGCATCCCCTCCTGGAGCAGCGCATTTTGAACAGTCTGAAGTTGGGGCGCCGCGTGGATGTTCTGCCTTGCAGAAAGGCAAATCCTGATCAGTCGCTATGCTGTGTGGGATGTGGGGAGGGAGTGGCGTGCTGGTGGCATAATGACCTCGTGCTGCGGGACCTGGCGCAGAGCCGCAGGGCTGCAGGAAGCCTCCCTGCTCGTTTTGTCCTGAGTGCTCCTCTAGCAGCCTAAGGGACTGGATCCCAAGGCAGCGATGCTAGACGGTCTGCAGTCCAGCCATGCAGCTCACAGATGTGGGGAATGCCCCAACCCCAAACCGTGCTAAGCCACAGCTGTCTTGGCCCAAAAAGAACAAAAGAGCTACAGGGTGCAACTCAGCTGCCAACTTGAGTTTTCTGCTTAGCCGCTGCGGTCTCCGGCTCATATCTGCCTTCGCTGCGCTCCGGTGCCTCTGTTCACCCCAGCCGCCGCCTTATGCCAGATGCGTCTG